GAAAACACACATATGTTCTGGAACATGGATATGTTCTGGAAAACACGGATATGTTCTGGAACACGCAGATATGTTCTGGAACACACAGATATGTTCTGGAACACGCAGATGTGTTTTGGAACACACATGTTCTGGAACACGGATATGTTCTGGAACACACAGATATGTTCTGGAAAACACACATATGTTCTGGAACATGGATATGTTCTGGAAAACGGATATGTTCTGGAACATGGATATGTTCTGGAACACGCAGATACGTTCTGGAACACAGATATGTTCTGGAACACACAGATGTGTTTTGGAACACACATGTTCTGGAACATGGATATGTTCTGGAACACACAGATATGTTCTGGAAAACACACATATGTTCTGGAACATGGATATGTTCTGGAAAACGGATATGTTCTGGAACACACAGATGTGTTTTGGAACACACATGTTCTGGAACATGGATATGTTCTGGAACACACAGATATGTTCTGGAACATGTGTTCTGGAACACATACATTCTGGAACACACAGATGTGTTCTGGAACACACATATGTTCTGGAACACACAGATATGTTCTGGAACATGTGTTCTGGAACACATACATTCTGGAACACACAGATGTGTTCTGGAACACACATATGTTCTGGAACACAGATATGTTCTGGAACACACAGATATGTTCTGGAAAACACGGATATGTTCTGGAACACACAGATATGTTCTGGAAAACATATGTTCTGGAATACACAGATACGTTCTGGAACACACAGATACGTTCTGGAACACATGGATACGCTCTGGAACACAGATACGTTCTGGAACACACGGATACGTTCTGGAACACAGATATGCTCTGGAACACACAGATACGTTCTGGAACACACAGATATGTTCTGGAACACACAGATACGTTCTGGAACACGGATATGTTCTGGAACACACAGATATGTTGTGGAACACACAGATATGTTCTGGAACACAGATACGTTCGGGTAATCGAGGAGCTGTTGTGCAGGAAGGTACTGGGAAACTCCCAGAAGCTGGGGTTGTTGAAGTGGTGCTGGTGCTTGAAATGGAAAACAAAAGGCTTGCAACAGCCGTGAGTGGAAAAAAAAAACCCAAAGAAACAAACCCAAACCAGTTAATATAGTCAACTTCTTTTTCACGTTTATATACGCATAAAACACATAGTCTGGGCTGAAATAAGGGACTTTGCTTACATCTTTCTCTAGTTAACGTGGTAATTGTGTATGGTAATACACCATGCTGTCTTATTTAATTTTTTCCATCTCTGGATGATGTGGTCAAATTTCTCTTTCATTCTTTACACATTCTGCTTTAAGGTTAGCCTCGGGATCCAGGCATACTTGTCTTGCTGACTGTTTCTTCTACCTGCCGCCTGTTTTCAGCTCCTGGAACAACTTCAGGTTTGTCTCGTTCTGATTTTAATTCTGTGACTATAAGGGGGTTTTTTACTAAGATCTTATTGATTGAAAGTTATTAACTTCCTTGAATGTTGACGCATTTGACACCTGAGTACAACCGAAATAAAAGGTGACTTGTTTTTAATCAAAGACTAATTACCTGACTTGATTTCTTCCTCTCCCTCTCTCTGTTACTTTTGCGTTTTGTCAAAACTGCCGCACAAAAGCCCCGGCTGCTGCTGCTGGCGCTGGTTATAAGCTCCGCGAAGGAGGCAAGGTTTACGGCTACGTGGAATTTGAACCACCCTGTGCCCTCTGAGGCTCGGTCCCCTCCAAGACTCACGACCACATCTACCGTGCAGAAATTAGGCATGGAAGATGATTGAAAATAATTTTGAACAGCCTTTAAATATGAAATGAGTTTCATCTAAATTCAGTAGGAATAAAAATAGCTTTCATTCTGCCTCCATAAAAACTGAAGACTTTTCTGAAATATAGGTGATGAGGAGGGAAGAAGAAGAATTCTATAATTCTATAGCGGCTCCACTGGACCTCTATGGCCATAGCTACTTCAAACCTTACATTAATTCATTTCTAAGGCACATCATTATTTTACTGCCAAAACATGTTGAATAATGGGTTGCAATCACTATGTTGCTGTAATGTTATCTTTACACTCTAGTTTTGTTTTATATTTGTTTCTCGCTCCTATCATAACACTAAACAGCGTCTAAGAGCTTTTGTCTAGTACTAGGTTGAGATTCAGCTTTTTTTTTTTTTTTTTACCTTCTGAGGAAAGGGAAGTTTAGAAAAGGCATCAACAGAAAACTCTTCAAGCTGTCTATGGACTGGATCTAGTGCCGGGGGAGTGGTGTGGCTCAGTGCACGAGCTCGGCTACAGCCTGCGTGCGAAGGACACGCTAAAACCACCGTGGGGGCACCTCTGCCGTGCCATTGGGACGCAGGTAGTTTCTGAGCCCAAAATGTCTCTGATCAGTGACGAGCAAGACTGTCCGCAGCTGTCTGATGGCTGCTGCTCTCAAAGAGGCAGCTGCTCATGTCCGCGTTTTATAGACAAGTGATATTTCATCAAAATCTTGATGAAATGAAGTTGGCGACTTCTTCCCTTCCTGAAGGAGGTCGTAAGACTGTAAATTCAGCTGTTCCCAAAGGGGAAATGATGTAAATACCATTGCCTCTAAGTCAGCTGGATGATAGTACAAAACTGAACTTCTGTAGATGGAAGTGTTTGGTGGAATTCAGTTTCAATTTTGAACAGCCTGGTGAAGTAGAGGCACCCTGATCCTTGAGTAGTCTTTGGTTTTAAATGATGTATTGCGGCAGTTAGCAACTCATCAGCATTGCACCACAGTCAGAAATGTCTCAATGTTTTATCTTTTTTTTTTTTTAACATCCTCTTTTAGATTTGCTGTCACTTTGTATTCAAAAACCGTGCACTTTTCCAGTGGGATCACTTCTGTTTTAAAAAGGGGAAAAAAATAAAAAAAAAGGGGGAACTAAATCATGTGTATTGCAGGGTTATGTTTTTTCCACACAGACAGCAGTGAAGAAGAGTATGTTAGAATCTGTTCTCTTACAGCAGCTGCAGTAGGAGAGTCCTGGGCTATGCAGTTATCTGCTTCTCTTACCCTACTAGGACTGGTAAGTCTGCGCTTTTTGTGCTTTTTTTTTTTTTCTCCTTACGCTTTGTTCGAGAATGCAGGCACCCACTTACTTTATTTGAAAGAGAGCAATATTGCTAAGGTTACCGTATTTTAGCTTCTTACATTAGCACTATGAGCGTTTTCAAAGCAATACAGCAACATTTTTTAGCGTGTGAGGATCTAGGTACCTGTGTCCTGTTTTTCAGAAGCAAACGAGGCATGCAGCATTCCAAATTCCATTGACTTTCAGCAAGATGTAGACTGCCAAGTACTCTCGTCTCTTTCGAAAATGGCACTTGGTTCCTTAAGTCCCTTAAGTCCTTAAGAAAATGTTGTCCTACTTTTTGCATATGTAAATGATTCTGTAGATAAACAGTTATGCTAATGTAACCAGGAGCTTAAGCTAAAAAAGAACCTCGAAAAAGAAAAAAAAGCAAATGGTTGTACTGTGGCAATGTTTAAATTTAGGAGGGAAGTCGAAAATTTCCATCTCTCAAGTAATTGGAGTTTTAGAATAGCTTTCTGGAAGGAGTATGGGGATTAAAAAAAACCCCAAGAAACAAAAAAAATGGTGACCCAGCGTATCAAGTCTCATTGCAGAACAAATAAGCCAGAGTCTATGGTTTGGTTGCTGATAGTTAGAAGCAAATGAGTTCAGTGAGGAGGATCTTTCCAGTTATATATCAAATATCATATGAAATTTGCAGAGGTTTTGTTTGTGTGGAGAGCTATCTAGGGACCTAGCTATCTAGGGACCTGCATGGCATTACTACTGATGTAAATTGCCAGCACTGTGAAAAGTTCTAAGCCTTAACTTTCCATGATGTAAGTAGAGTTTTTGGGGTATGTCGTTCTTTGGGAGATGTACTATGTGCTCTTCAGTAAAACTGCCTCATCCTTTGCCTCTCCCCGCTATGTCAAACCATGAGCACACTAGAGGTGTGTGAAGGTACTTGAAATATGCGGAGATTAAAAAGACATTTGAAGAAGAGAGGGATTTTGTTGTGTTCATCTTTCCCATTCCTCCATAAGCGGAGTGGCGGTGATCTTTTCCTTAGTGAGTTTAGGTCAGACTTGGCTCTAAATGGAAAGGTTCCCTTTGATTTTTAATGGTAGGTGAATTGAAAAGGAATTATTTTGAGAATAATAAGGAAGGAGATTATTTTGGGACATACTGGCTAGCTTTTAATTATTCATGTGTAGATACACAAACATACTACTCCTCACCACTATTGGGGAAGACAAATTAACTATATCTTTTAAAATCATCATTAAGAGGGACTCTAAAAACATTTGTCTATGTGAACTGCATTTTGGATGCAGTTTTCTTATACTTCAAGAACCATCACCATTTCTTGAAGCTCCTTGGCATCTCCCAGGAGGGCTCAGGCCAATTCAGAATCAACCTCTAAGTCTGAATTTGATTGTGATTTCCTTCCTATGTCACCTCTTTAGTTCTTAGAAATTGTTGTCTTTCAGTGGAAAAAGTTGATATGCAACTGATGGTAGTGACATAGACAAGTAAAATAATTTTGCTGAGTTTTACAGCTCGTAAGTATGATCTGTCTCAACTAGCCACAATGCAGAAGAGATACCTAGGAGCAGAAGCGGTATTACAGATGAGGAACCTGGTTAATGCCCTTCCTATGTCTTCAGAATGATTTTTTTGTTTGTTTGTTGACATGGTGTAGAGGTTAAAATTGTAGAAAAGCACCGAGTTTACTGTTTACTAAAAAGAAATGTTCTAGAGAAAAAGAAAAATCACAGGCAGTCTTTATAAAAAGCACATTGTTCATTTTTTTTTGTTGTTATTCCTCTTTTTCCAAATAAGTTTGAGGTACTCTGCCTGTCTTTCTTTCACTCACAGGACTACATGGGACTCTGGTGATTAGGCTGTTACTCACACTTGTCATCATGTTGGCAGAAGGCATCTTAACTGGACTTGTGTATAAGGAAAGCTGTCATCAAGATAAGCCTCGCAAATCTCATGCATCCACAAAGGATAAAGAGGGAATCTGGAGACAGAAACTTGTCGACAACCCAAAAATTAAAGGCTTTGCTGATGGACATGAGAAGCCTGATGAGATCTCTGCTAAAAGTAGCAAAATGGAACGTGGGAGCAGTCCTCAGTGGAGACCCATAGAAGAGGTACCTGCAGAAGATCAGAAAACACTTGTTAAAGGAACCGTGTCACCACCTTTACATATCCCCAGAAGAGAACAACATCCTGAACAGATGGATTTGTATAGATCCTGGTCATGCAACAGCATTTATCAAAACTACCCTGACTTACACATTGGGGGAGACCGTGTGGGGGACCATACATGTGATTCAGGTTGTGTTTTGGACCATGTGTGTGATGAACTTCCCGATGGCCCTGTTTTACTGTCCATAGATATTCCTCTAGGTCAGTCCCCTCCATGGGAGCATCCCAAAAAGCCAAGTATGAAGTCCCTGCCTGGCGATGACGCTGGAGAAAGGAGTATCGTGCTTTGTGAGGAGCCTCTTTCAAACTCCGTGCTCAACAAGTACATGGAAACAAAAGTGGCGGAGCTCTATAAACAGTTCTTTGAAGAAAACTTGACCAGGTGTGGTTCTGTAACAAACCTCCTCACCTGCAGTTTGATAAGGAATAACCTGAATCAGATAAGCTTTCAGATATCCCAGGAGCAGAATATGGAAACGTCGAAAGCCAGAGAAGTGCTCTTGCACTCTTTAGCTCTGTTTAGTTTGTGCAACACTACCAATAGGTATAGCTCTGAATTTAGTACTCCAAGCTTACAAATCTCAAACCCAATATGCGTGAAGAAGAACTGCAGGATGCAGTTCACCTCATGACTGATCTGCTTAGCTGAGGAGATGAATATGATTTGGATATGAATATTTCCCTCTGAGGATTAGGTTGGGAAACGAAAACATTTACACACTACAGACTTTTTCAAATAAATATTTTAACGCTTAAACCATACTTTGTTAGGGGAGGAAGTAAAGGTCACTGTTTTCTTTTTTCTAATATAGAATTTGAAATTAATTTCTCTCTAAAATGCTGGACAACCATATTTGTGTAATGTGTATGTCCTCCTCCTAAGAGTCTGGCTGTATCAGTGATTGTACTTGTATACCATCGGATTTACTCCTGCGACAAAAATCAATGAAGACGTGTGCTGGTAAAACTTTGATCTAAGAGACTGATCCAGCCAGTAAGTAAGAGTCAGGTTGTCTTTGCTGGACTTTGGATTGGGCTATAAAGTTGAAGCCCGAGTTTTGGACATTGAGGTTCAAATTTTGCTCCTGCAAAGCTTGGTCACAGTGGCTGAGAAAATATTTCTTTGGTTTGAAAATCTTGTCAGCAGCTGGAGGTGTTTGGGACTCTGGATTATTTTGTATATATTATTATACATAGGAAATGTGTCGACATGAAACATGAATGAAGATGTTGATATTATTGCATGAGTATGTTTGTACTGCCTAGGCGGACTATGTTACAGTGGTGAAATCATTGATCAAGTGTAAAAGTATTTCATTTTCTGTAAAAAATTTTTTCCTTTCAAATAAATCCTTACCTCTTACGATGAAATCCACTCAGCTTTCTGTCAGTATGTTATTATTTTATGTTCCATTTGCATTTTTAGTAAATGGACTCTGCCTTTATTTCCTTGGAGATGAAGCACCTGCAACCTCAGCACGCTAGGATGACTGCAGCGTTCCCTAAAAGGTAGTGCAAGCTTTCTTCATTTTTGTTTGGAAATTTAAATGCAGATTTTGATATGGAGATTTCGTTACTTAGCTTTCAAACCCATTTTTTTCCTTTTCTATTACTTCTTCTCCATAAGCGTTTCAACTGGAAATTATGTGTCACCAGTGTAAAATGATAACTTGGACTCTTACCTGGTCTGCGGGAGTTTCCTTCTGGCAAGGCCACCTCTGTACTTGCACTGTGCCTGGGCACGGTTTGACACACCCGCCGTTCTGGGTTTGCAATCATGAAATCCAAATCCAAAAATCTAGCCACAAAATATGTTTGTACAATTGTAAGCTCTGTAATGCACGTTAACGTGCTAGTTGAATCACTTTATCCAGTTTCTGATGCCACGCAATGCGTAGGGATGGGATCAGTTATAAGGCAGAGCTGCTCAGTGAAACTTGCTCTGAAACAACTAATGTAAACCAAGCCTTTGTCTTAATCTCTTAAACTCTGCTGCATAATATGCATTTTTTAAAATCTTTGTCAACCCTCTAAGAGAATATGAAGGATCTTGTGATCTCTAGGTAATAATACATCAAATGCAAACATATTTGCGTTTGTAAATCAAGGCCCTTGACATCTGATCAGTCCTTTGAAGAGATCAAAGTCGTTTGTTGGGTTTTTTGCTTGGTTTTTTTTTTTTTTAAATCCAGCATCTTTAGGTGTTGGGCTTTTTTAAAAATCATCTCTGAGCTGGCATTTATAACGAAAACATCAGTAGGCTTGAAAGGATGCCTCAGAACACTGAGAAAATCTGAATTCACAGGGAGTCACCTTGAAGCTCTTAAGTAATTTAGCTTATTAATTAGTTGCATTTACTGTAATAGAAACAGTACGATGGGGCTTAGAGTTAAAATTGTACCTGGTTTGGCCTATATGGAGAAGGAAATGAGCAGAAAAAAGTGTACCAGACCCTTAATAAGCTGTACCTATGTAAAGACTGCATCTTGGCGGCATGGGGCTTCTTTTGGAGGAGGAGGAGGGGGGGGGGGGGGGGGGGAGGAGGAGGAGGAGGGTGCAACTGCCGCTGCGTGCGTCACTGCACGTGGTGTCAGTCTGGAAAGGGAACTACAAAACTTCCATGTAGCTTCAGATTTTTAACCATTTCTGATGCCTTGCAATGTCTTGTAGGATTGGTGGAACTTAACTATTAAGTGCATGGCTCGGTGCGTTTCTGTCCGTAATGTCTAACGCATTCAGGTGCAAGCATGTGGGGTTTAATGGGGTGTGCATGTTCAAATTTGAGAGCAAAGCTCCAATATAAAGCACAAAAAAAATAATTGGCCGACAAGGCTACCCAGTCTGATAGATGGTCTGAATGAGCCTCTCTAATGATCGAGCCAATTCCGCATCTGAGCAGAGAGAATACCCCTGGCTTTGAGGTGTTTCCCAGCTTTTTATATACTTTGATTTTCGAGCTGTAGGAAGTTGGGCACTCTGCTCCTCTGGAACTGCCTTGAAAGCTGGACATTCATTTCCCTCAGCTACCTTTGAAAATCTGATTCCTGCTCTTGTTTCTCATCTTGAATACCCAACTTGCAATCTTTTCTGTTATTTTTGCAGGTGGCCTGCAGTCTGAGGTAGACTTTTCCATGATAGCATTGTGGTAGGATGGGTATTTTCAGACAGATGAAAGAAAAGAGAGATTGCTGTAGTTTGGTGCCTGGCAGGATTGAGAAGCATCTGCTCCTGTGGGAAAAGTGATCTGGGTGGCCAAAGTAAGAGCCTCTCTCTCCTGATAAAAATGGCAGGCAATGACAATTCCTGCCGAGTATGTAGCAAATAATTAAACAAAATCGGACTCGTACATGTCCAAGACATAAGTGAGCATCCCTTGCCTGATTCCATTGACCTTAGTGGTGCAAGGAGTGTAAGTGATACTGAGACCGGTCCCTGTGTTCTAAGAGGATGATAGGAAAGGATGCTTTGCTTTTACTATGCATTGCCCTAATTCCACGTACATCTCATTAATCCCCTTCGCAGCATCCAAAATCAAGTCAGGAGTCCTTTGGAAGAGGCCAAATGACTTCATTAAATTCCGGAGGAGTCCAGAGTGGCCAGCACTCTAAAGTCTTCCTTGGTAGAGGTGTGGAGAATAAGTTAACTGAGGGTGAGAGGAAAAATATTCCAAAGGGCATCGATAAGCAAAGGGATTGCAATTAACCGTAGGAAAAAAGTGCTCTGTGGCACTTGTGCTGCCTTGCCCTAGCCCTTGATTTCCCCTGGGATGTATTTATAGTTCAAACCAAAGTCTTGAAAGAAGATAATTGTGCAAGGTTCTTCCTCAGGAAATGTGCAAGTCAGACTTTAAAGCTGAGGTCCAGACTCCGGTCATTTTTCTCTCCTCCCCAGCCCTGAGAAGTGCGTTAGAGAAGACCCCTTCTCTCCTGCTAACCTCAGAACCCCAGCCCTAGACATTAAAGCCAACTGCAGTTTCAAAGGTGACGTTGAGAGAAGCAGCAGAAGCTGCTGAGCATCGTCAGCTGCTACAGTGGGAGAAACCCCGATGGACCGGCCTCTCCCGTCCCGTTAAAGAAATGCGTGGCAGAAGGGACTGTGGGAATGAATATTCTGGATTGGGCAGAATCTGAGGTTACTGTGGAGCTGCGTCCATCCCATACCTTTTCAGGGCTGGTTTCAGAGCCCATTTTGGAATGAATTTTATCAAATATGTGGATGGTTTTAGCTATACTGTAAATGTTAGAATGAAAAGAAAACACAACAAGCAGTGTTATGAGAAAAGTTTGTTATCTGTAGCCTTCCTTAGAATTATAGCCTCTATTACAACCTGGTGGAGGCGAGGAGCGTGTTATGGAATTCCTGACAGCAGCTGTACTGAAACCAGCCACGGTATGGATGCAGATGAAGCAAGGAACCGTCTAGCACCTGTAAGGTTAATACGTGACTTTATTGCAGGCGTGCTTTTGGCTTTTGTTTTTCTAACAGCAGAGCCGAAGATGACTTAGTTTTTAGAATTTTAATAAATGAACAGTTTGGAGGAGGGAAAGGGAAAACGAATTTTTGGCTAATTTATGTAGCTACTTAGCACAATAATGCATGTTTTAGCAGTGCAAACGAAGATGTAGATAAATGCACATTGTTAATGTATGGTACCACAGACTGTATTTTGTTACTGACGCTATGCAGTTTTGCCCATGGTAAAGGATTGCCTGTGTACTTTTTCCACCCAGCGTTTGTTACTCTGGTTTAATCCAAAAATTTAAATAACTTCGCAAAATTCACTTCTCTTTGTAGGAAGAAAGGTATCTGCAGTCTTGCTGCAGAACACATTTTAGGAGCAAAATCTGATAATTCCTGGAAACATGAGACAAGTATGTTTATTATTCGCTTAGATCCTATTTTTAGTTCAATTTTATTTTAATGGACATGTTTCAATGCATGCCATGCTTTGCATTTATTTATCTTTGTAAGATACCGAGTCCCATTCTGAATTTAAGCGAGTAAAACTCCATCGGCTGCGCTTGCAGCTGTGCCCTTTTTCACTCGCAGGAAAAATGGCTCAGTGAACTCAAATTACGTGGGGAAAATCACTGAAGAGGTGTGCTTTCCCAGACTGCTGAAGGACAGCAGATGTGTTTTATTACGAATGAAAGCAGTGCCATATTTTGCGGGTCAGACACATAAGGCCAAATTCTGGCTGACAGTTCTGTTTATCCACGTGCCAGCAAAATCCGAAATTGAAGGAGAAATACTGGCAGGGAATTGTTGCTTTCATTTCCAGTTCTCATTCCGCGTTCCCGCAGAGGAATCTTCATCAGGTGTTGGAACCAGGCCCCTGGTGTAAACTGGGCTCGTTAGTTCAATCTACCCAATTAACTAAGACATATAGTTAGGGTGGCGTTCCCCAGCCAGCTACCTCTTGTGGGATATAAGCCCCTGTAGGAGGTGACTTAATCCACCATGTCAGAGCGATTCCTACGTGCCAGATCAACACGAACCTTTTTTCTGATATCTATTAAGTAGTCAAATGATGATATCTAGTGGTGGTTTCCTTTAGTACCTTTTAGTTCAGGATTTCCAGAGGTTTACAACGGCTTTGCAAATAAAACTCAAAAGTCCGCCTGTCTCTGGA